AGTAGTAGTAGTAGTAGTAGTAGTACGTAGTAGTGTACGTAGTAGTATACGTACGTACGTACGTACGTATACGTACGTAGTATACGTACTAGTACGTCGTCTCTCTCTCTCTCTCTCTCTCTCTCTCTCTCTCTCTCTCTCTCTCTCTCTCTCTCTCTCTCTCTCTCTCTCTCTCTCCTGTTTCCAGTTTGGTCTTGGTTTGTATTGTAAACTTCTTAGCTTTGTAGATGTATTGATCACTGTGTTGCTTATGCTTCACTGGTTTTCTCCTGCTATAGTGATCCTCTAAGATTGTAACTCTTATGTTAAGAGCAATGTTTTGAAAATTGCCTTGGCCAAGGTACTTGGCCCTTGGCCGAGCGAGTAACTCTTCCGAATCCACTTGGACTTTGTTGATTTACGTACAACACAATAAAATGAAAAAATAAAAAAAGAAAAAAATTAAAAAATGATTAAAAATAAGGGGAAAAAAAAAAATAATTTAAAGCATTAGATGATTAAAAAGTTGAAAAAAATCTATAAGAGATGGATTATTGAAATTTTTGATTTAGATCTTGAATATTTCAGAAAAATTTTAAAAAAGGGAAAAAATATGAAAATTCCCAAATCATCTTAAAAGCTACCAAAATCATCTAAAAACTTGATTCTAACTAATATAGTGGTGTTTTCCCCTTTTATTTGCATTTTTTAAAAAATATTTTTTACCTCCTATATAAGGGCGCCCCAACTCGGCTTCAAGTTACTTGACCAAGTCCGAGTGGACTTGGCCGTGTCCCGTTACACTGGTTAAGAGAATAAATGATCTCTGCAAACAAAATGGAAAGGTTACATCTAAATTATGTCAGATTGCGCGGTGTCCTGTAACACTGGTTAAGAGAATAAATAATTTCTGCAAAGGGAATGGAATGGTTACATCTAAATTATGTCTCTATGTAAATATCAAAAGATAACATATTAAAAAAAAAAAAAAAAAGGCTCTTTGACAACAATATTGTACAGGTTTTACAAATTATTTGTGAGACTTTGATTAAGAAGGTTATCTTTTCTGATTTTGAAGGTAGAAGAGAACATATTCAAAAGGCTATTGATGAAGAGACAGAATCAGCCAGTGTTATTGGCTTGATGACTCTTTTCTCAATGATTAACTATTCATAGTTCATTAAAAGTTATGTGCTTACCATCCATTAATTTTAATCGTTGCATCCAATCTTTTTTTTTTCCCATTAGTTTTGCATCATAATGATCTTATTATTCATCTTTTCTCATTCTGCAGTGTTATGTTTGGCCCTGACATCTGTGGCACACAGACGAAGAAGCTGCATCTAATCCTTTCATACCAAGGCCAGAATTATCCCATTAAGAAGGATCTACAGTGTGAAACTGACAAGCTAACTCATGTATACACATTTATTCTTAGGCCAGATACATCTTATAGCCTCCTGGTTGACAATAAAGAGAAGGAATCTGGAACCATGTATACTGACTGGGATATTCTTCCTCCTCAAAAAATCAAAGATGTAAATGCAAAAAAGGTTAGGAGATTGGACACTTCTCGCGATGTTAGTTCTATTTCTTTTGGAATCATGTGATCCGCTAAACTTGCTTTTCTTGTGATCACAGCCCAAAGATTGGGATGACAGGGAATACATTAATGACCCTGATGCTGTCAAACCTGAGGTGATTATTGATCATCTTTAACCTGAAAATTTTGATCCATAATTTCAAATGCCTCTCAATTTCTTTCAGTTTCTCTTTCCCTTTTACTTCTTAGCATACTCAGATGTTCATCAATGACCTGGCACTACAGGACTATGATTCGATTCGTGCTGAAATTCCTGATCCAAATGCTAAAGAGGTGCCCTCTATTGGAGCTTTTTTGATATTCAAGATTCTAATTATTCATGACTTAAAGCTAATGCGCCTGAAATGTGCTTTTTCTTTTTCAGCCTGATACCTGGGATGAGTTCGAGGATGGTGTTTGGAAGCCACCAATGATTCCAAATCCAGCATACAAAGGGCCATGGAAACCAAAGGTTTGCACAAGTGAGATATCACAAGAAGTTGGAAGTTGGTTATTTTATGTGGCTTTGTCTCTCACTTGTGATACTTTGTAATATTACAGAAGATCAAGAATCCAAATTACAAGGGAAAATGGAAGATCCCATGGATTGATAATCCAGGTATTTTCTGACTTTTAAGGGAAAAGTGGTGAAAGAATCCTTTTTTTGTTGGGTAATTTGGTGAAAGAATCCCTACCAAACCAAAAATGAAACTTTTCCCTTTCATCAATATAATATATCTTTAAAACTCAAAGAAGATGCCAATGCAGTGCCTTCTATGTAAATATTGCAATTGGACACTGTAGATCTGATCTGTTAAACTTTGGTTGCAGAGTTTGAAGATGATCCTGACCTTTATGTGTTAAAGCCACTAAAATATGTCGGCATTGAAATTTGGCAGGTGAGGCACTAACAATTCTTCCATCTATACTTACTGTCCCAAATCATACACACAAAAAAAACAAGAAAGCTTCCATATATAGTTCTATTCTCAATTCAAATGTTCTAACAAAAATAAAAAGCCAATTTCTTGGAGGATTCACTCAAAAAAAAAAAAAGGATCTCTCAGAGTGGAAGCTTGAGAATCTCTCAATGTACCTATGTTTCTGTTATTTCTTTGGTTTGGTAGGTTCAAACCCAAAATGTAAGATCTCTCTCTCTCTCTCTCTCTCTCTCTCTCTCTCTCT